TACACAGCTATTCAGGGCTAAACACAATGAACACTCCCTTACAGGGCTACACAGGGCTATACAGGGCTATACACAGCTATAAACGGCTATACAGGGCTATACACAGCTATACAGAGCTATACACAGCTATACAGAGCTATACACAGATAAACAGAGCTCTGCACAGCTATACAGGGCTATACATAGCTATACAGGGCTATACACAGTTATACACACAATACGCAGCTTGCAATTGCTGTAATGATTCAATTTGCATCAGATTTATTTGTTCCTGAAAGGCGAAGGATTAGGCACATCAAAAATGAAATTAAGGATCAGTTTGTCATCTAATAAGTATAAAAATGCTGTAAAATGGATTTTCTTAATTTCCTTTTAAATTCTTACTCCGAAATAGGCCGTAGATACCCCTTAAGTGCTCAAGCGATCGTGGAAAATCTGCAGAGTTAAATGAAAAATGTTATCCACTACTTAGAAGGATAAGAACATTCAGACTAATGTTACTTGGATTTTGCGAAAGGGTCGAGCTCAAAGGGTAGTTTTGGACGATCTTTATTAACGATCTCCCGGGTGAAACTGTAGGCGGGATGAGGGCAGCGTTATACGCTGATGACACCAAGCTGCATAAAAACGTCAGCTCCGTCAGCGATTGTCTGTCTCTGCAGACCACTCTAGCAAACGTGAATGACTGGTCATAGGGAAATAACATCAACTTCAACACCTAGAAATGCACAACGCTTGCTGTGACGCGGATGAAAACTCCCTTGACTTACGAATACATCCTAAACAACACACAACTTGTACGAGTGTCCGCGGAAAAAGATCTAGGAGTTACAATTATGGGTACGTTGTCTTGGCACTCTCATATATACACTCAAGCACCACCAGAGACAACAGGCTCCTTGGGCTCCTAAAGCGGGCATATCCATTACTAACTGACGTGTCTACCCGGCGCGTGCCATACTTATCGCTAGTCAAGTCACAACTCTGCTGCGCTACTCAAGTCTGGTCGCCCGCTCAGGTTTCCCCTGAAGGCACAAGTCGAGCGGGTGCAGCGGCGCGCTACCAAATGGATCTTACAAACCCGGATTGGCGAGATGTCTTGCAGAGACAGACTTATTACCCTGGACTTACTCCCTATTACCTACGACAGAGAACTGAAAGACTTGGTATTCTTTTATAAGTGCTTATTTAATTATATTCACCTTAATGTATGCATTTGCTTCAATTCCTGCCATTTGAATTAACAACTTTTTTAACAACTTTATTTGGTTTATAACATAGTACTAACTACACCTCTAGCTTGTAGCACGAGCAAGTTCTAACTAGTGTCTACGTGCAGGGCTAGTCAATGTCAAAGGACGTTCTCAGGCAGTCAAAATGTGTTTGTTTGACGAAAAGCTGGAAGGAGAGCGGACTCGAAAACCTAGAAGAAGGAGCAATAGAACAGGAGTAATTCCAAAGTTTCACAATGCGATTAAAGTAGGAGGCCTGAAAGGGGCTCGTTTCACAGATTGGTGTTTTTAAATCAAAGGAGTTGCTTAGTCTACTACGGCCGTGAGAAATAAAGTTTGTGAAACTACGTACCTGTTCTTTCGAATTTCACAAATTGCCTTTATCACGTGTTTATTTCTTTGATAACACACTTTTACAAAGAGTGAAAGAGAGAATGCCGTCAATGAGGGAATGCAGAACTATCATTGGTATACGAGTAATTAAAAAAACTATTGTGGTCAATTAAACATGTAACAAGTTGTACTTATTCTGCAGCAATCCAATATGAACGAGTTCGCATACGATTAGTTACACCTTTTCCAACATAAACATGAAATGCGCACCGTGAATCTTTTGTTATAATAACAAGATACAAAAGAGCAAAAATAGTCGTACAAAATCTAGGTAATCACTCAGTTTTGACACAAAGTTGTATTTACTTAGTAATTTCTCTGTGGCCTAATACAGTGTGAATTAGAAAATCATAAATCACTAGTCATCTTTTCTCGCGTTTTTCATCCATTAAAGAGAAAGCTCAAAAGTCTGATTGGACATGAGATCTAACGGGTATTTTTTTGAACTTTTTGAAAAACATTCTTTTAGCATTAAGAGCGGAATTAAAAGGTAGCAGAGGTGAAGCCTTCAAAAATTTCACTGGACAGGATAGCCCCATCTTATGTGTATTTTACAAATCAATGCCTCTTAGGTGCGCTATTTTAGCCGCAATCTGTGCTGTAGACTGTGTATAGCCCTGTATAGCTGTGTATAGCCCTGTAGAGCTGTGTATAGCTGCGTATAGCCCTGTTTAGCTGTGTATAGCCGTGTATAGCTGTGTATAGCCGTGTATAGCTGTGGATAGTTCTGTATAGCTGTGTATAGCCCTGTACAGCCGTGTATAGCCCTGTATAGCTGTGTATAGCTCTGTATAGCTGTGTATAGCCCTGTATAGCTGTGTATAGCCCTGTATGGTTGTGTATAGCCCTGTATAGTTGTGTATACCTGTGTTTAGCTCTGTATAGCTGTGTATAGCCCTTTATAGCTGTGTATAGCTGTGTATAGCTGTGTATAGCCCTGTATAGCTGTGTATACCCCTGTATGGCGGTGTATTGCCCTGTATAGCTGTGTATAGCTGTGTATAGCTGTGTATAGCCTTGTATAGCTGTATATAGCTCTGTATAGCCGTGTATAGCTGGGTATAGCTCTGTATAGCTGTGTATAGCCTTATATAGCTGTGTTTAGCTTTGTCTAGCTGTGTATAGCCCAGTATAGCTGTGCATGGCTCTACATAGCTGCATTTAGCCATGTATAGCCCTGTAGAGCTGTGTATAGCTATATCTAGCCTTGTTTAGCCCTGTATGTGTGTAGGGTATTGTAAATATATGTATTGAGGACATAATATGTACCCATGCAATCTATTTCAGGCTGAGATGTTTTTTTTTTTGCCAAAACTATGAAATTAGTCTGTATTTGGAAACAGTAACATGTATTTCTAACGGGACTTTCTGTCAAATTTCCGAGCAACGTCTTAGTTGTTGACATGAAACAAGAGATCTATTGGAAGTTGTTTACCGTAATAATTAGATTTAGCTCTCTCCATATGATAAGTGCCCCCTCTCCAATAAGTGACCCCCCCCCTCAAATTTATTTTCGTTAATAAGCGCCTCTATTCTAATAAGCGTCTCTATTGATTAAGCACCGTCATTACAACTAGCGTCCCTATTCCAATAAATGCACTTATTCTGTTTCAGTAATAGCACTGTTGGAGTACGTGTACATTGAGATCGACTGTGGTCCATCTTCTTTTAACTCTTTAACTCCCAAGATCTCATTAGTAATTCTCCTTACTGTTTGTCATACAGTTCTTGTGATGTTAGTTTGGAGAATTTGGTATTGGATCAACTTATAATCCCCTTACTGATATTTTTCTTTATTCTTATCACTTGTCTGCTTGATATCGAATTGATATTGTAAGGAGAAATTCTGTCTTGGTCACTCATGAGAGTTAAGGGTAAATTTCTCACTTAAAGCCTCACAACAGAAAAATTGGTCTTAGTCTCGGTCTCTCAACTATTATATCGCCGTGAGGTACAAGTCCTTTTTCCATTCTTTTTGAAGATAGAAGATGATCGTTATTAAAGATTAAAGGATTTGAGAGGAAGGGTCGATAGAGCTGTGTTTCATAGAGAAATTACCGGGGATAAACCTTGCACTAAAAGACCAGATATCACTGGCTAATTTCAAAACTAAGAAAGATTGTCAAATTCTTTTGTGATCATTTTTATTTATTATAATGAAAACTTTATCTGTAAATTGACTTGATAAGCTCTGAGCTACAATAACTGAGTCTCCATGACACTATTTCAATGACTTAACCCGTTACACCTTAACATCAAAATCCATGATCTCCATACTCTTTTCTATACATTTCCTTTGGTACTGATAAGGAGAATTTGCTCAAAAATCAAAATTTCTTAGGTTGGCGTTCATTTCCTACTTTCTCGCGATCTTAACAAACGATCTAGCAGCGTGATTACTGTAAGGAAAATTAGATGCTGGTCACTCTTAGGGTAAAAAGGGTTATAGCTATCCCAAATTGATTAATTTGAGTCAATTCATTTTGTTAGCAAGGTTTCGTACATTTTTGCTGTAATAACCAGTAAAAAATTCTGTGACCAATTTCGGAAAAACTTACTCAGTCAGGATATTGATATCAACTGTACGTAGGCTTAGATACAGTTCAGATGAAAATAAAAGCTGGAAACTGGCCTCCTGCTACCATGGTGCTATTGCTAGTGTCTGTTGGATCACTGAAAGTAAATTGCACTCCTTCTGCTTCGACAGACGTTCGTCCATCTTTTCCGTACCATGACACAGGACCCTTGATAAGTGACTCTAGCATATACTGCTTCTTTGCGTCCAAAGAAACCAGATTACCAAAAGAAACAAAAAAGCTATAATAATTATTGTTCGCGTCCTTTTCCGAAGTGAATGTTCCTGATTGTTCAACAACAGTAAAGTTAGTGGCTATATGTTTGACCCTAGTGGAGACTGTGTGCTCGCCACCATCAGAACCAAAATGCTGAATTCCAAGCAACATAATAGGCTTGTTTACGGAGAAGTGAACAATGTCAGGGAGGCCCCTATTGTAATTCCAACCTGTAGCTGGCTTACAATAATCGTTAAATCTGTTGACTCGAAATCCAAGAAACTTCCTCCTTGCTCCCTGCAAAAATGGTAAAGGGCTTTTCATGACGTTGCCATAAAATTTAATCATGTCGCCTGTCTCCTTCTTAGATAAAATAGCAGTGTCGTAGACTACCGTGGCAAACTCCGCCAATGTCATCAACGGAAAGCGAATTCCTTTCACGATTTCCTCTCCAAGAAGTCGTCTCTTCGTCTTTCCATCAAGTGTAAGTACCTGCCGTTCTCCTTCTTCTGTGACCCAGCGATCAACAGCTTTGAACAGTTCCACTTCCGTCACGCTCAACACTTCTCTCTTCACAAGAGATTCAACAACAGATCTCTCAGCTGTCACAAAGTCGTCTGACGTCACAGCTTCCTCTGTGAAAATCTCGATAACTTTCCAGCATCGTTCTTCCAAATTCTTGTCCTGAAATTTCTGGGCGTATGGCAGAATGCTAAACACCTTTGTTACTGTCAAATTGTGGTGAAGATATTCCGTGCATTTCTCAACGAGTGAAGGCACCATGTATTTGTTCGCCAAGTAAATCACTTGCATCACATTACTTCCGCTTAAAGTTACTTCGTCGCTATAGAGGAAGCGAAACAACTCCAACAGACTGTCGTAATCACAGTCAGGTAGTTCAATAGAGTCTTTAGTCTCCGCCATTTGACCATAGAACATGGCAAAGAACACAGGACTACCGATTGCTAGCACAAACTTGTGAGCTGGGATCACTTTCGTACTTTCGCTTTCTCCACTCGACACAGGAACCACAAATTTCACGTCGCTTAGCATCTCGTTATTGAAAATAAACGCGGTTCTCTCGACGATAGTTTGGAGTTTTGTCTGCCAGTTGTTTTCAGCAGCCATTGCTATGTTCCAGCTTCGGTATCCTCGGCAGATTTTTCCCTTATATAGTGACAAACAACTTTCAACACGTAGCGATAGCAGTAGTTTTCCTCTTTAGGATAGCACCGCTGAACTCATTGCAGGCTCCTCCCGTCACGAAATGACGGGAATGGCGCGCTACGTAATCTACTCCAGGCTGATATGTTTTTATGTCAAAACTATGACGTTAGTTAATATTTGGAAACAGTAACATGCATTTAAGACGGGCATTTCTGTCAAATTTCCGAGCAACGCCTCAGTTGTTGACATGAAACAAGAGATCTACTGGAAATTGTTTACCGTAATAATTAGATTTAGCTCCCTCCATATAATAAGCTCCCTCTCTAATTAGAGACCCTCCCCCCCCCCTAAAATTTGTTTTTGTTGGTTAGCGCCTCTATTCTAATTAGCGTCTCTATTGATTAAGCACCGCCATTACAACTAGCGTCCCTTTTTCCAATTAACGCACTTATTCTGTTTCAGTAATAGCACTGTTGGAGTACGTGTACATTGAGATCGACCGTGGTCCATCTTCCTTTAACTCTTTAACTCTCAAGATCTCATTAGTAATTCTCCTTACTGTCTGCCATACAGTTCTTGTGATGTTGGTTTGGAGAATTTGGTATTGGATCAACTTATAATCTCCTTACTGATATTTTTCTTCATTCTCATTACTTGCCTGCTCGATGTTGTGTTGATATTGTAAGGAGAAATTCTGTCTTGGTCACTCATGGGCGTTAAAAGGTTAATTCCTCACTTAAAGGTTCACGAGAGAAATATTGGTCTTAGTCTCAATCTCTCAACTATTATATCGCCGTGAGGGCACAGATCCCTCAACGATGGATTCCTTTTAAAATTTTCCGTCGATTGCTTGGCTGGTCGTTCAGGCAAGGAAGGATCCAGGGACAAAGAAATCTGCTTCCAATCTTTTTGATCCTCAGTCACATGAACATCGAAGCTTTGTTTCAATTGCTGCCGTTGCTCGAAAAAGAAATAAGCGCCCCTTTTTCGGAAGGAGCGCTTATTTTAATGTGAAAAAGTCTCAGACTATTGTTCGCTGTAATAAATATTATCAGAGTGATTTTCGTAATTAAGCTAAGGCTCCACGAAGGGAGGCGCTCGCCAGTGATAATTTGGCTTTGCCCTTGATTTTCTTCAATTTGTTTATTAGCGTTAATTCTATTAATTTGTGGGTTCGTTTTCTTTCAGCGTGTTAACCGCAGGTTAAATAGAAACTACAGACATCTATTTGCCAGGCAGGTAAAAAAGTATTTATGAAATCAAAAATTATTAGTATCATGGAGTTATTTCTGAACTACGAACGTCTTTATTTTGTAAGCTTGTAGAAAGCGAGTTTTGTACATTTTCTAAAGTAGATAAGCAGGTAGGATTAATTTCGAAACGTTCGTGTTTTCTGTAATAAGCCTCCCTATCGTGTGTACTTGTTTTCAAGCTTTTTTTTGGAGGAGGCAGTGGTGGTAGTTAGGGGGGGAGGGGGGGAGGGAGGGGGAGGGAGCAATTATATGTTATCGATCAAAAGGAGAATTAAGGAGAGACGAAAGGAGGATGATTAAAAAAGTAGAGAGCTTTTAAAGATATGGTGACATTAAGACTGACTGAGCGGTTGTTTTTTCTTTTCTAGTGATTAATTTACGCGTGGCTATATTTTTCATTTCCTTTCAGTCTTCCTGCCACACTTTTACAACCCAGGTGAGAATAGTCTGTGATTTGTGACGTTCATTTTATTTCGATGAGATTTCTTTATATTCAAATAGTATTTATATATCAATTTGAAAGTTAGTTACAATCCTTTCAATAGATTTTATTTGTTAAACTGCGTTTTACAAATTGTTGTGTCGGTGATACAAGGTGCTTTTTATCTATTAATTTACTCCAGCTATAATCAAACCGGTGGCCACGAGTGTTACTCCATCAGATCATTTAATGAAAGAAGGTTAAAAAAATAGTCAAGAGGAATAATCTGCGAACTCGGAGTCTTTAAAATAAGAGTTTTAAAAACCCTATAGAACACTGCAGGGAGGTGCTATCAAATAAGGAGATGGTGAGGGGGTGGGGTGGGGGGGGAGCTTCTAGGATGATTTTTATGCATATTCTCCATATTGTTCTCTAAACATGGTACGAACAAAGGAGAATTTGTTTTGCAATCAAGATCTTCTTCAGTTAACCATCACCTTCTCCATTCTCATGATCTGAACTTTAACTTATTATTAGAAAATAATTATTTCATTGCCTGCGGGGGTGGGGGGTGGAGGGGATTGAAGGATCTTGGTTGTGTCACAATAAAAATCCAGCTGATCTCCCCATAAGACTCTGTAATAATCTTATGATTCCTCTCCATGGTCAGTTAATTGGGAGTCACTTCTCTGTAGTCCCCCCCCTTTATACTCCTCTGTCCCCCCTAAAACCCATGTGATCCCCCCACGCAAAAAAACTCCACACATCCTTCCCCCCCGGCGATAAATAACGAGTACCCCCTTAACGTTGTACTCAGCAGTGATACCGTAAGGAGAAGATAGACGATGATCGTTATTAAAAGATTAAAGGATTTGAGAGAAAGGGTTGATAAAGCTTGTTTCATACAGAAATTACTGGGGGTAAACCTTGCACTAAAAGACCAGATATCACTGGCTAATTTCAAAACTAAGAAAGATTGTCAAATTCTTTTGTGATCATTTTTATTTATTATAATGAAAAAATTGTCTGTAAATTGACTTGATAAGCTCTGAGCTACAATAACTGAGTCTCCATGACACTATTTCATTGGATTAACCCGTTACACCTTAACATCAAAATCCATGATCTCCATACTCTTTTCTATACATTTCCTTTGGTACTGATGAGGAGAATTTGTTTAACAATCATAATTTCTCAGGTTCGCGATCTTAACAAACGATCTAGCAGCGTGATTACTGTAAGGGAAATTAGATGCTGGTCACTCTTAGGGTAAAAAGGGTTAAGGTTATCACAAAATTATTATTATCTATTAATTCATTTTGCTAACAGGCTTGGCATATTTTTGCTGTAATAACCAGTGAAAAATACTGTGACCAATTTCGCAAAAACTGACTGAGTCAGGATATTGATATCAACTGTACGTAGATACAGATACAGTTCAGATGAAAATAAAAGCTGGAAACTGGCCTCCTGCTACGGTGGTGCCGTTGCCAGTACCTGTTGGATCACTGTAAGTAAATTGCACTCCTCCTGCTTCAACAGATGTTCGCCCATCTGTTCCGTACCATGATTCAGGACCGTTGATAAGTGACTCTAGTGTATACTGCTTATTTACTTCCAAGCAAACTAGATTACCAAACGAAACAAAAAAGCCATAATAATTATTGTTCGTCTCCCTTTTCGAAGTAAATGTTCCTGATCGTTTGACAACAGTTAAACTAGTGGCTGTATCTTTGACCTCAGTGGAGACTGTGTGCTCGCCACCGTCAGAACCAAAATGTTGAATTCCAAGCAACTTAATAGGCTTGTTCACGGAGAAGAGAACTCTGTCAGGGAAGCCATTGATGTAATTCCAACCTGGGCCCGTAGTTGGGTTACCATAATTGTTAAATCTGTTGACCCGAAACACAGGAAGCTTCTTCCTTGCTCCCTGCAAAAATGGTAAAGGAGTTTTCAAGACATTGCCGTAGTATTTAATCATGTCCTCAGTCTCCTTCCTAGATAAAATAGCAGTGTCACAGACTACCATAGCAAACTCTGCTAATGATATTAACGGAAAGCGAATTCCTTTCACGATCTCCTCTCCAAGAAGTCGTCTCTTCGTCTCTCCATCAAGTGTAAGTCCCTGCCGTTGTCCTTCTTCTGTGGCCCAGTGATCAACAGCTTTGAACAGTTCCACTTCCGTCACGCACAACACTTCTCTCTTCACAACAGATCGCTCAGCTGTCACAAAGTCGTCTGATGTCACAGCTTTCCCGGTGAAAATCTCGATAACTTCCCAGCATCGTTCTTCCAAATTTTCGGCCTGAAATTTCTGGGCGTATGGCAGAATGCTAAACACGTTTGCTGCTGTCAAATTGTCGCGGAGATATTCTGTGCATGTTTCCTTACTCGGAACTGGTTAGATCAAGTGACCACCACAAACCGTATAATATTAAGCCAAGCTTTAATAATTATTCGATCTAAAAGAAATACATTTATAATTCGCAATTAGAACAAACACAAATCAAGTCTTTATCTTGTAACTAAATTAAAAAACTTCAATATAAACTTACTTCTGTGGCGGGTCGTTACAACAGTCTCACTTTACGGGTTAGCAGATTCTCCAGGTAAGCGGCTTTAGAGACAGAAAAACGATAACAAAATAACTTCTTTCTCACTTCGATTCTGCTGAAAAACTGACTTAAAACATAATAATCTAACGCTTTTAAATCAATCTATTGAATTAATGTCAATCACGAT